GAGGCGCTGGCTCCAAAGCCGGAGGCGGAGAAGGAGAGTCAGGACCTGCGCATTCTCCCCATCCTTTTCGATGCAGCCGAGGAGAGGTGGCGCACCTTGGCTGAGGCCCTTCCCCTCTACGAGGAGGTGGACTTTGACGACTTCCCCCTGCAGGGCCCGCGCACGGTCTACCGGGACGTGCGCCAGTTGCGACGACAAGGGATGAGCTGGGTGCAGCATCATGAATCTTGGCTTAAAAAGAGTGGAGTCAGGGTCACTGACCGCAGCGTCCACGAGCACTCCTCGATTTGTCGTGTCTTGGACTACATGTCTTCGTATGACCAGCTCAATATCCCTTCCTTGGCATGCGCGGAGGCTTTGAACCGCAGGCGGGCGTTGATAGAGGTTGCGCATCAAGGCCGTCCGGAAGCTCCATCGTATGAAGGAGCTGATGAAATACTTGGTGTCCGAGACACATCGGACGGCTCTGTCATCGACCCAGCCCTCACACAACACGCGGCTCGCCGACAAGCTGCAAAGGCTGAGATCTTGAAGCAAAACAGGCTCGCTGCCGATGAGAAGAAACAGGCGCTACGTCGAGGAGATTTGTCTGGGAATGGCGACAAGGAAAAGCCGGGCAAGGGGCCCGGGAAGGGAGACAAGGCTCAGAGCACCCCCTGAGTCGGGGGCCGACTGCGTGGGGGAGGGCGCCAACCATGTGGTCGGGACATCTTTTAGCGTCAATCAATTTTCCAAGAAGCCAGTGGATCGCTTTGGGGATTTGCTCCCGCTGCCACTTCCTGAGGACACTGGCTACCCAGGCGAGCTCAGATTTCTTCGTTCACGCAGATCGCGCCAGAGGGTTGCAGCCCGACGGTGCCATATGCAGCGGGAGGTTGATACGATTAAGGCTCTGAACTCTTTGGGTGGTTTTCCGGATGAGTCGCAGTGGCCCGCGACTTGTCTAAATCAGGCACAGAGGGCCTCACTTGCACGGGTGCGGCTGGCGCATCAGACTCGAGCTCCCGCACCAGAATTAACATCACCGCAAGCAGCGCTCAGGCAGCTGCTGCAGAAGGCTGGGTCCTCTTACGGGGAGGGGCAGCCAGGGCAACTTGTGAGTTACATCCGGGATAAGCTTTCTTTGCCGAGGGATCAACTGGAACCTGTCATGCTTAGTGATTTGCTGCCGCCTGCCGAAGCTGGGATGCTGAAGGACTTCAGGGAGGAGATGATGTTGTCCAGCGAAGAGATTGCCGGGGTCCTGGAGAGGGGGCTCGAACGGGATCTTTACATCGACCCGTTACTGGACACTAACCCCTTGAAGTATCACGAGCTGATTGCGGACATGTACGGGGCAAAACTCCTGAGCTTCACCACTCAACCTAAGGTTCAGGTGGGGCTCTTCTTCGTGAGCAAGAAGGCCGGGAAGCAGAGAATTATAGTTGACGCACGCCGTGCCAACAAGCTTTTCAAAAAGCCCCCGTCGACGACTCTGGGGTCTGTGGAGGCTTGGACCCGCCTCGAGTGTTTCGAGGAGGTGTTCTTCGCCCAAGAGGACGTCAAGGACTTTTTCTACAGACTCCAGATTCCGAAAGATTTAGGAGAATACTTTGCATTGCCAGCCATCGACCCAGAGTTGTTAAAGAATGTCATGGGGTATGTGCCCGAGGAGGTTCTGGAGCTGGCTGCAAACGACGAGGCCGCTATTTACCCTCATCTCAGAGTCCTCCCAATGGGTTTCAGCTGGGCCTTTCACCTGGC